AGAGAAACTCTGAGAATCCTTAGGACTTACCCACCCCAGCCCTAGTGTAGAATAGGACGGACATGGGAATGCACTCAGCAGGTTACACAGCAAAGCGTGTGAAAGTCTTTCCCTGAGCTGCAGACCCTCCCACTACCTCACCACTCCAGAAGGCCCCTCCCTACCCCTCCTCAACCTTCTTTCTGGGCTCCATGCTACCTTGTCATTATCTTTTTCTCTTTCTGACACTTGTCTCTGGTCTGACCAGTCCTGCTGAGTTCACTGTCCAGAGGAGGTAGAATCTGGCCTGTATTTGCTTTTTCCTTTTGGAGACCAGCTACCTAGAATACATTTCTCTTCATTATACAGACTGTGAAAATTAGCTGGCATATAATAGAGGCTGTATTAGTCAGCTTCTTTTATTGCTGGGACGAAATACCTGACACCCACAACTTCAAGCAGCAGAGGTCTGTTTTGCTTATGGTTTCAGTTTTCAGCCCGTGGATGGCTCACTCAAGGCGGAAACATCATAGCACAAAGCCACCTGGCAGAGGAAAGCTGCTAAACTCATGGTATCCAGAAAGCAGAGAGGAAGGAGCCAGGAACCAGATATTGTCCCCAAGGTCATGGCCACATGACCCACCCAGACACACCCAAAACTGCTTTACTAATCTCCTAAGCATCTCTCAAGCCAATCAGCTGACAATCAAAATTAACCATGATAGGTGCCCAGTACCGGGTAGCTGTTCTTGCAGAACACCCCTCATCAAGGTACTGTAAACATTATTAAATTACCAGTGAACACACAGTGCATCTTAGTAAGCACTTTCTGAAGCCTTGTGACTATTATTGTGATGGTAACTGGGCGCTCAGTGTGCAGGACTTACTCATTGTTTAGCAAGACAAGCTGCCGTGATTTTAGGTGTATGTAACCACGGAAAGTCTCCTTGGAGTGGATGACCTTTGACTTTCAGCAGAACTTCAGAGCACTTCCCTTTAAGTACACAGGTAGAAGGTGTACAGGTATCCACTGCCCTGGGGAAATGGCTTAACAGGAAGTTTTGTAGCTCAAAAAACCTGCTGTTCCCAGTATTTCCTTAGTAGGTGTTATGGTTTGTCTGTGTGTCCCCCCAAAGCCTCATGCGGCCATGGGGCAGGCTTTTAGAGTTGATTGAGGTGTGAGAGCTGCACCCCTGGGGTGGATAGTTTGCATATGTAAGGGAGAGGAAGAAAGTGCTTGAGGCCATTCCTCCCCCATTCCGCCCTGGTGTGTGCTTGTTGCTTTTGCTGTGTTCTGCCGCCATGAGCTATATAGCTCTCTGCCATGTGCCACTCTGCCTTATAATCTGCCAAGTACGGACTGAAACCTCCACAAACTGTAAACAAAATAAACCTTTCCTTCCTTAATTTTGGGCGTCAGGTATTTTGTCCCAGCAATGAGAAAAAAGTAACCAAGACAGTAGGGGAAGGAGAAAATGAATTTGTACGTAGGAGAAGGAAACTTGTCTTTTGCTGTTCCTACTTCTATAACAAAATGCAGTGGCCCCCTCCTTTGTAGAGTCAGTTACTCACCGTTTCAGTTATCCATAGTCACTGGTGAGCTGAAAATATTCCTTGGGAAATTTCAGAAATAAACAATTCTGAAGTTTTAAGTCATGCACCATGTTGAGTAGTGTGACAAGACCTTGCACTACCTCCTTGTGAATCACCCCCTTGTCGGAGCTCTGTATTCTGTATACTTCTCTTTTTTGTTGTTTTTTTCTGGTTCCGGGAATTGAACTCGTGACCTTGTGCTTGCCATGCAGGCGCTGTGCCACTGAGCTAAATCCCCAGCCCCTCTGTATACTTCTCAGTGGCTGTCTTTGCTATCAGGCTGACGCTGGTGGCTGGTGTGCTCAGGTGATCCTTGTTTTACTTAATGGCCCCAAAACACAGCAGTAGTGATGCTGGTGATTTCACGACAATTATTCTTATAATTGTTCTATTTCATTGGTATCCTTTGCTATTACTCTCTTATTGTGCCTAATTATAAATTAAATGTAATCACGTTTAATTATATAGTAATTAAAAACATAGTATATACGGAGTTTGGTACTATCTAAAAAAAACACCAGAGGGTATGTACTGTCTAGGGTTTGTACTATTTGTGGTTTCAGGCATTTACAGGGAGGGGTTGAAACATATCCCCTGTGGGTAAGAGGGGAGTATTCTGCCTTAGACTGGGTAGTTTATAAATAAGTGAAATTTGTTTTTTACAGTTCTGGAGGGTGCTAGCCCACAATCAAGACATCAGCAGGTTGTGTCAACCAAGTACAGATTTATTCATCACCTTTTCTTTTCTTTTCTTTTCTTTGGACACAGGGTCTTGCTATGCAGTTCAGGCTCGCCTGGACTCACTATGTAGTCCAGGCTGGCCTTGAACTCCCAGCAATCCTCCTGCCTCAGCCTCCCAAATGCTGGAATTACATGCATGTACCACTATGCCCAGCTCTTTCTGAATTCCTTTCATTCGGAGAATTTCTGAACATTAGGTACCATGGTTTAGTTTAATGTACAGGAGTAAAGGGAGCCAACCAACCTTTATCTAATTTGCCTTTTGCCAAAAAGCTGTTATGGACTGAAAGTGTGTGCGCCTGCCCCATTCATTTGTTGAAACTCTAACCCCAATATGGTGGCATTTGGAGGTAGGGCCTTTGGCAGGAGGTTGAATTGTTACAGGGGACCCTCCTGAATGGGATTAGCACTCCTATAAAAGGGACCCCATAGAGAACCCTGGCCCTCCTTCTGTCATATGAGGACAGAGTGAGAAGGTCTGCCCTGAACTTGGACTTCCTGCCTCCTAAACTATGGGACATAAGTATTTGCCATTGAAGCAGTCCAGTCTATGGCATTCTGTTGCAGCAGCCCAAACTGAGGAAGATGCAGCAAATTTTAGAACTGGTCAAACACAAATCCTCCCCTCTTGGGTGTTTAGCAGGTGGGTGGGGGTTGACTCCCATCCTCACCACTGTACCTCCGACTTCTACAATAGCCATCCCCGTATAAACACAGCACCAGGGATACTGGCACAGACACAGCCCCACCCTTTTATTGTCTACACTCTTGAGTGTTGGAAAGAGTAGTGCAAAGAAAGCAAATTAGCTGTGCTCCACCCAAGCATGTAGGAAACAGAGACCACGGCTGGGCAACAGAGCCAGCTCTGGGTTGAATTCTGCATCGTGCAGTGGCTGTGTGCCCTTGGCGATGTCACTCCCTGTCTCTGAGCCTTAAGTTCTGTGAAGGTAGAGTGGGAATGACAGTGAGTGCACCTCCCAGGACTGTTGGGAGGAGTCCTCAGCGAGGAGTTGCTCCTCTGTGATGGCACCTCAAAGGGAAGCTTCTGAAGGCCAGAGGGAAGCTTCTGGGGGCTGGGGATGTTCCCAGCCCCTCTGACACCACAGCAGCCCCACCCATCCATCTGCATTTCTCTCTAACTGCCTCGGGCACATTCAGATAGACATTTCTCGGGTCTAGGACACTGTCACAGTTGACATCTCAGGCTGCTTTTCAGGTGTGGCCCAGCAGAGACTCCCAGAAGGTGCCATCACCTCAGTCCCCAAAGATTTACAGGAGGAGGAAGGTCCAGCTAAGGGCAATGAAAAGCAGCACTTTGGTGTTCGATCTTCTCTTCACAGGGACCTTAGGCCTCAAGTCCCAGGAACAGTTGTAGAGCAGTTGAAGAAAAGCTTCCCCTGTTCTTAGTCCCGGTGGACAGAGTTCTACAGGTTGTTCTTGGCCCAGCACCTCCAAGGCTTCCCCAGTCCATTGAAGGACATGTAAAAGGATTGAAATATGTTTCCCCCTCTCCCTTTCCCCCCTCTTTCCTCCCTATGCCATCCTTCTTTCCTTTTCTGTTTTTATCCCCTAACGCCAGTAGCTTTTTCAGATTTTCCTGGTTCTAGCTATTGCTCAAAGAGTGCCCCACCCTTAGAACGTTATTCTCATATTAATTTTGAAGCAGAAAGTTCAAGGCCAAGGTAATAAATACTTTTCAAATTAAAAAAAACTTCATTCTTTTAAATGAGAGATTATTCATGCTTGTGGAAGAAAGCAGTCAAATATCCCATGTGTATATGTAGTATAAAGACTTCCACCGTATTTCCCCCAAACCCATTCCCTTGCAGTGACCAGCACTGAACAGTGACATGCATCCTTCCAGACATTTCTTTTTTTTTTTCTTCCAGACATTTCTGAATGGACTATTTGACAGGTATGTAGTAATTGCCTACAATGTTCTGGGCAGTGTGCTGTGTACTAGTGGTAACCAAATATAAATCTGTATACTTTATGTGCAAATTTTTGTGTATTCATCATATACATTGGCAAAAATAAGATAACATTTACTGAATATCTAAGAGCCACTTTTCCAAGGTAGTATGTAGAAATAATAGCTATACATACTATGATTTTCTCACAGTGACATAGTGTTCTGTTGTAAAGATATGCTACAACATTTATTGCTAGTTTAAAAACCATCCACATTTCCTTTGCTTATAGAGTGTTGAACAACCAGTTTCAGGAACCGTGCTTGAGCAGCGCCTGGCACAGGCAGCACAGGAATGCTCTGGGGTGTCCCCTGTGCGAGGGCGGAGGAACAACCAGCTGCGTGGGCTGTCCATCAGGCCTCTTCAACAGGCAGACAATTCCAGCCCCACAAGCCCAGTGTATGGGAGCCCAGCCAGCCCGTGGTGGGGCTAAGCGCACACCCGGACCCTCTGACTTCAAAGCCGCTGCCACCACGGCTCCCATGACCCTCTGCGGCCCTCAAAGTCACTGTGTTATACACGCACACATTGCTACGGTATCATCCTGCCTTTAGCACCTGCTTTGGGCAGTAAATTGCCTGGGCTATCAAACAACCGGAAGTGGACGGGAGGAAATAAACTTCAGGTCATGAAACGGGAAGCCGGAAAGGACTGTTTGTGTGTGCGCATGCGCACGTGAGTGTGGGTGCAGGGGTATGGGCAGTAAGACCCCCCTCCGTGGTTAAGGCAGCAAATGCTGAAGTTTTAAACAGCTGCGGGAGATACCAAGAAGCTCTTGCTCCCTATTCCTCCCTGTTTGCCCGTTCTCCTCTTTGAAGTTGCTAATGAGTAAGCAGACTTCACATGCAAGTTCAGTCTCCTTGCCAGCAGCATGGGTACTGCAATCACTGGGGGTCTCAGGCACTCCTCGGCAGTTTCCTAGCTGGGTGATGAAAACAAAAATGCAGCCTAATTGGCCGTCTCCCTGGCTCTTTCTCGTGAATAAAGGAGGTTTCTGTTTTAAGAAATAAAGTGACTTAGCTGTTGATTCACTGCCCACAGGGAGATTTCTGAGCACAGGCTTCCTAGCCTCCGCGGAGATTTGCATACAACTTCCACTTCCTGCTTCAGAGCCTGTTCTACAACTTACCTGGCCCTGGACAGGGCGAGGGAAGTCCAGAGCGACCCGGGTGAAGACAGGAGAAACAGAAAGCGCGACCACCCCCAGCCGGTCTGTCTGTCTGTCCCTGGTGGGTCTAAGGTGAGTGATCCCGCCCTGTCTGATTTCTTAACCACTGACCCACTTTCCAAAACACTGTTTTCTCTTTGCCGAAATGTTCTGCCCCAATTTCCTCAGCCCTTCCCTCTCTTCCCACCTTTAACTTGTTTTTATGGGGACCAACTTGGGCTGAAAAAATGAGAGTAAGTCTGCAGCAAGAATGTTTTGCTGGATTAGTGTTTCAGACCAGCAAGCTGAGATTTAACTCTTTGAGGAGAGAAGGCCCACGCCGGGGTGATTCCAAGCTGCTTGGGAATCGCTCGTTTGGGTATTTGGTGTCCCCTCAAGTTTTGATCAAGAATAGAAGTTCCACTACTCCAAAGAGGAGTTTAAGGACCTGGTTTCCAGCTCCAGGACGTGTTTAAGGACCTGGTTTCCAGCTCCGAGAAGTGTCAGTTACAGAGTGGGAAGGATAACTCCCAAACTTTCTCTCTCCTGGATTCATGCAGAGGGAAAAAAATTCACACCACGTTCTTGCGCCAGGACATCCCACTAAGCTTTGGGCTGGGTGTGAGCCTTCCCAGGCTCCTCTGCAACCCTGCCCTCCTCAGACCTTTGCTGGTCTGGGACATTGCCGGGACACAAGTGGAGAAATGCTTCACTTGTTCATACAAGCTGATCAAGCTTCTTGTGACATTTAGGTTCAAGGTGTTCTCTTCAAATAGGTAGATTTTTTTTTTTTTTTTTTTTAGTGGAAGAAAATAAGCCAAATAATTTAAAAAGAAGACAGGAAACTTGGATCCAAATTCTTACTCTACTTTGTGTGGTTCCATCTCTTACACAATTCACATTGGCTCCCCTGGGCCTGAACTTCTTCATCAGCAAAGTATGTGTGTGTGTGTGTGTGTGTGTGTGTGTGTGTGTATACTAGCATGATTATGTCTAAATTCCTTTCTAACCAAACAAAGCTGGGCAGAGCCTTAATGGGTGGTCTCCAAAGACTTGTTTTACTTACTGGTTATTACCTATATAAATTTTACCTTCTGCTTCTAGTTGTTGAGCCTCTGGAAGAAAAGGACTTTGCTTCTTAATACTTTTTTAGGTGCCAGAATCTCCCCAACTAGCAAAAATCATACTGCAAAGCACATACTAGAGGCCTCATAGATGCCCCAGCTTCTTCCCACATAAGTGTCTTGGATTTCTGTTTCACTCATCTGCTCTCTAGGCCAAAGGTAAAAAAGCAGAGGAAGCCATTTCTGCAGAGGGCTGCCTACAACCAAGATGTCATTATTGGTTCTAGCCAGATGGGAAGAAATGCGGGTTTCTTGAGTTAGTTCTTGTCCCATTTGGGTTTTCCAGAAAGCATCACCCACCACATGCACTGGCTCACAGAGTCAAAGGAGGCTGGAGAACTGACAGGCAAGCACAGTGCCAGAGACCAGAGACTGCCTGAGCTGGAGCAGGAAACGTCTCCCACTGGGAGCAGTCAGTGTGTGGGGCCTTTAATGGGAGGGGAAAGGAAACAGTGAAACATAAGCTCACGCCATGTCATGGCAATGACTACGATCAGACTCATCATTAGATGGCAGATACACGAAATCCTTAACCTTTTCCAAACCACTGCTTTTTAAAAATGTGTTCTTGTTTCTTTTGGGCAATTTCTCACTGTCAGCACAGTTCTAACAGGCTCTGGCTGAGTGGGATGGGCCAGCTCAGGGCTTTTGGGGTTGTTGAATTTTTGTGGACTATCAAGGCCCTGGAATAGTCCTGTCGTGTTTTCAGATGTTTCTGTCTAGTCCTCTGGGATAAGAGGACAGCATTTCGTGTTTCACCTATGGTGAGTTCCTGACTGTATTTTTAAATACAATGCATCCTCCGGTTGCCAGTCTAGCATCCACCTGTATAGGCCTTGCTGCTGGCATTCTCAATCTGGTGGCATTCTCAACCATCCCTAGTCCTTCTGTGCGAGTGTCAGGAAGAAAACGCCACCACTCTGCCCTCTTCATTGCCAGGGTGGGCTAAGGAAGAGTGGTATCTGGTAATGTGACAGTGTTGGAGGGAGCTTCCTAACTCAGGGATCTCATTTTCTGAGCATGCAGACAGAAAATGTTACAGCCTGCTTCTCCTAGGGCTGAGGAATTAGTGACTTTCAAATGTTCTGAAAATTAAAAGAGGAAAATCATGTTTGCAGGCATTCTTTAACAGGCACTCAGCAAGATGGATGATGGTGGGGTAGTTTGTCTAAATTAGATCGATGTTTTACACATCACAGAATGGAAATCTCAGATATATCCTGAATTCAAATCATTTTTCTGCTGCAGGCAATTTTAGATTAGCCTTTGAAAACTTACATATATCAATTGCAGGCAACTGCTGCAGAAAAAAAGAGCACAGATGAGGGACATTAAACTTTAAATTCCTTTCAGATCCAACTAAATGACCCCTAATGTTTGATCACATTTCCTTATCAAAACAATCCAGCAAGCCTTCCGTGAGAAAGCCTCTAAGTGACGGTTGGAATCAACACGCTGTCTCCCAGGCCTCTCCCATTTCTTCCCAAGGCATTGTCACCAAGCTATTTTTAGTTCATGAAACCCAGGCTGTCCTCCTCCCTGCGACATTCTGTCTCTCATGCCCAGCCACCTCCCGGAGCACGCATCCTCCGCAGTCTGGCTGCTCAGCTCGCTGTGCCCATGTGCACACTGTGTGCACTCAGATGTATGCTCAGACCTTCCTGGACACCAGGCGCTATACCCATACCATGAGGGGTGGCCTTGCACACATGCGGTAACCCTCAGAGCTGTGACAGTTTGCCTTGGTTCCCTGGTGAGGCAGCTGAAATCCAGCACATGGGCAGGGGTGAGACTGACTGGAGCCCTGTCTGTGCACCCCGTTTAGTACCCCAAGGACATTGGCTACTTGGGCCTTGGCAAGTCCCTCAGGTGAAACTCTGCTGTCTTCTGCCACCTTGTTGTTCTGTGACCAGGGTTGTGTTTTTCCTTTTTCCTCTCCCAGGGTCAGTAGGTCTCATTCATGTCCCTGAACTTTCTTCCTACTCTGAGCTGTCTTCCCACACTGCTCCTGGCCACTGGCTTACCCCGTCATGCTCTGGCCTTTTGCCGCGTTCAGATTTTCCCTTCCTTTCAGCTGGTGCTTCTCATACCCATAACAAGTACAAACTACAAGTCAAGCAAGTCTCCTACACCAGTGTAGGGCAAGCAAACGATTTCCCTCAGGCTTTCCCCACTACCCTTACTTCTTTTCTCTTCTACGCTCCTCTCTGCCTTTCCATCCCTTCCACCCCTTTAGTCTGTGGGGAGGACTGGAGTAGGGATCACAGTTGTGCCACTTTATCTAAAAGAGAAAAAAGGACAGTGACAACAGAAGAATACGGGCTGGTTTGCAGTTGTTCCCTCAGTGTTTTTTTACCAGCTTCCAAAGTGGCAGTCAGTCTGTTCCCACTGATTCGTCTCCTCCCAAAGTAGCTCAGTCCCGCAGGAGTCCCAGGGCACATTTTTTTCCTCCAGCTGGGTCAGTTCTGCCCACTGTGCACAGCCTCACGTGGGACTTCCTGTGCAGGGTTATGTCCAGGGGCAGAATAATGTCCCATTGTCCCACTACTTCAAATTCTCTCACAACCTCATGGAAGAAGTCCTTGGAGAGGAACATTCTGCAAGTAAATTTAGAAGTATTTGTTCCCTGAAGTTGGAATCTGAGTCAAGTAGTTCGCTCAAAAGCAACCTTGGAGGAGGGTTCCTGCCTGTCACTCCAGCTACTCAAGAAGCCGAGGCAGGAGGACTTCAAGTTTGAGGCCAGCCCGGGCAACTTAGTGAGACCCTTTCTGAAAATAAAATTTGAAAATAAAAAGGGCCAGCAATGTAACAGCTCAGTGATAAGAGTGCTACCCTAGTATGTGCAAGATGCTGGATTCAATCCCTAGTACAACAATTTCCACTAAGCAAACCTGCATTATGGGAAGTTTGCATGCATTTGGGCTGTGAGCAAAGAATTAATGAGTATACAAAGATTAGCTTTTAAATTCATGTCTTTAAGACACATAATCCCAGGGAATTAAATAAGACCTTGAAACCTATAATTGAATGTATTGATCCAAATTGGATCTGAGGAGTCTCCTAACTGTAAGTTTATATATTTATTTGTTTTATTCACATGAAATAGTCATGCTGTGAATTTATGGGACCCTTCAGCTGTGTTACTGATCCCCCAAAAATGCTATTAAAAAAAAACAAAACAAACTACAAGTGGTTGGTGAACCCCCAGCCTTGATTAGGTAGGAGCAGTTAACGTGGTTTATTAATTACTCAGGCTTCTCACTCATGCCCTTCCCCTGTTCCTTGCTCTGCTATTTGTCTTCTCCAGGGACAGAACACCTTCATTAAGCCCCTGCTGTCCTTGCTTCAGAGGCGTCCCTGGAAGACATCCCTCTCGAGATTCGTCACCATTTATCATCACCCTTTGTTTGTGCTCTGTCAACAAGTTTTCAATTTATTTTGAATTCAGTTTATGATTAAAATTTAATGAGATCCAATCAAGTGCTTCTCTAGAATCAAGATGCCTGTGCAGTGTCATCCGTATCCTCTGCTGTAGAAGCACGAGGGAAGCTTTCTAGCCTGGCGATGCACTGTAGAATACAGGTGACATGTGCCCACGCCCCTCAGTGTCAAGGAGAATTGTTCTGAAACATGTTTATTCCAGAAGGTTCTAGGGGTTCTGCACTTCCCCATCCTCTTCCTCTCTCCCAAGTCGCTGTACTTGTCCGTCTCCCCAGGGGGGATACAAGCCATTCAGTGCATAGGATCTGGGGCTGGACTGCTTGGATTCGAATCCCAGTGCTGCTACCTGGTGACCTTGTGGCCTTGAGAAAGCCACCTCACCTCCTGTCTCAGTTTCCCCATCTATAAAATGAGGACAACAGTAGTACCTGTCAGCTAGGGTCATTGTGAGGATTAGACCATTTAATGTGTGTACATTTGGAATGATATTTCACAC